GCCTCCAAACTTGCTGTCATATGACTACCGCAACCACTATCCATATACCAAACATCCATAGCACACACATTAGCATAACAGGCAAAAAATAAACTTTCGGTTTCACTTTCTTTTTGTGCTGCAGCAATTTTAGCATGTTGTTCCTTCAACCTACAAAATTTCTCAATATGGCCAAACTTTTTACGATAATAACATTGAGGTTTATGAGTATGAGTACCACCGTTGTCAAGCCTTTCTCTATGTTCACCTTCCTTATGGTTTGATGACGTCCACCGAAGCGACCTCCAAAGTGTCCACCACCTCTATTGCCTCGTTGTCCACCACCATGAAACACATTGCTTCTATGCCCTCGCTGGTAATTGGAATTGTTGCCCTTAGTTGGGTATTTTGACTGCTATAATTTTGTATGAAATGCATTCTCAACAGCTTCTTCTTCATATCGCTTCATCCTATCTTCATGAGATTGCAAGGAGCCTAACAATTCATCAACACTCAACTGACTCAAATCTTTTGATTCCTCAATTGCGACAGCCACGTGTTCATATTTTTTTGTCAAACTCCTCAATATTTTCTCCACAACCTTTTGATCAGACAAAGATTCTCCATACTTGCGAATTTGGTTGATGATCTCCAGCAACTTTGAGAAATAAGTGTCAATTGAGTCACCGTCCTTCATGAAAGAACTCTCAAATTGTCGACAAAGAGTTTGTAACTTGACAGTAACTACCTTGGATGTTCCTTGAAAACCGCTGTGTAATGTGTCCCAAGCTTCCTTGGACGTTTTTGCACTAGAAATTCGATGAAAAATGCTGTCATCTAATGCTTGTTGAATGACAGCAAGAGCTTTAGCATCTTTCTTCTCCAAATCTTTAAGAACATTAGTTGAAACATCACTTGTATTATATCCCTTTTCTACAAGCTCCCACAGGTCTTGAGAGATGAAAAGAGTCTTCAATTTTGTGCTCCATATATCATACCCCCTGCCTTTGAAGAGTGGTAATGTGGGTATTGTGGCATTGACACCATTTGTAGTGTTTGCCATCTCAAAAACACGTAAGTAGCTCTGATACCACTTTGTCAAATAATAGAACTCCACTAAAACTTCTCTCTGCAAGTGTTAGGAAGAGAAAGGTAAATAGAGACTAGTAAAATACAAAGCACAAAAGAAAGGCATATGAGCAAACTCTGATATGCTTATTGAAGAGATGAGAGACTTTAAATACAGATAGAAATAACAGAATTCCAAACTAGAGGAGAAAAATAAGGACCCATTACTAATAGCAAAAACCTGATTTTTAGAACTAATTTATGACTCAAATAACTCATTGACTCGATCAAATACTAGAAATAAAGAATTTATGCAGTAGTGGCTTTAACAGTTTGAACATCACCTTTATTAAGTTATGCCATACTTAGGAACATTGTGGAGTCTTGGACCCCTCTCTTTTAGCAATTCAAGTCTTTTGCCTTGTGTGATAATTGATTACTAATTATAAGATGTTAATAATTTTGAATTGTATAAGCTCTCCTTATCTTTGTGTGAGTTCTCAAGATTTTGTTCGATGAATTCACTTTATCTTTGTATGGATATTAATCTCACTTCATTCTTCTTGGTGAAAACATGAAAGATGTGAATTTTGACATGGATCAATTAATGAAAGACGTGGAATCAGTAATGAGGCACTGTGGTTAAGAAGATCCTGATCTTGATCCTGAAGAAGAGCCATTATCAGACAAGGATTTTGGTAATTTCTGAGTTACTACTGCTTATAAATCAGCCAACTGATTTGATTTGATGCAGATACAAATTATTCTGTTAATTTAGTAATTGTGCAATTACTTCTTGCAGATACAAGTGAACTCTACGTATCCAACTTTCATTGCCTATAAATGCTGAGTGTATAACACAAATATGCAGATGAGTCGGATGACGAGAGTGACACATGCGACGAAAATGAAGAGGGAGGGAGACTTTCAAGCAATCTTATTCAGATGTTCTGAATGAGGAACTGAATGCTTCCACACTTGATAAGACTTTTGTCCCTGCAAATGAACAATCCGCGAAGGACGAGGTTGGTGTCTTTAAATTCATAGCACGAGAGCCAAAATTTGAGCATTGCATTATTTTTTGTATAAATTTTCTTTAATTCACTCAAACGAGCTCTTGCAAAAGACACAAGCTGAATGAATTTTACTAAACGTAAGATTGGCTAAACATGTTTTGCATAAGCTTAAAAAGTACACTTATAAGTAAATAAGTAGGTTTATATAAATAATTGTTGTTTTTGGACAAATTTGGAAATAAAGTATGACTTATTTTGACAAAAGAAAGTACAAATCACTTAGAAAAGATTAGAAGGAAGGAGAAGCACGTTTTGGAGACAAAGATATTTCTTAAAATGTGTGACTATCCTTCTATTTTATTATTGTGGAACATGCTCATCCGTTATGTGGATTCAATTATTATCCTTCCATAAGTTCTCTAGTACGATTTGTTAAGGGATAAAACCCCACATCGAATAAAGATGAAAATATAGACTACTTTATAAGGATGTGAACTACTCATTTTAATAAGGTTGATCTTTTAAGATGAAACCTCAAGTCTTAACATAGCATCAGAGTCTATTAAACTCTAACGAATAATTTCAATTTGCTCGAACTATTGGGTTTAAAGCTTCCTGAAGTTTCTAACAAAGGCAAGTAATTATCTCTGCCTCGTGTTTTGTCCACGTCAATATTTTAAATATTTTGTCACAGCGTAGGTCTTTTAGATTGTATCTATGTGTGTGTGTATATATATTTCCAACACTTTCGTACTTTGAAGAAAAATATTTTCCTCTTATGAAGAATGATGCTTTCTAATGTTCTAGCTCCTATTTGTTTATCATTATTTTAAAATGAATTAAGTCACTTGCAAATCACTTTTGTACATTATCGATCATATTTCATGATGTGTAAAAATTGAGACCATTAATTGTTTGTAAGTGTCGTTAAAGTTAATGGTAAAGCTATGTGTCACATCATGGAGTGTAAATAAAATTGTCAACCATGATGTAAGTCTAGAAAAAAAATTTAAAATTTATTATTCAAAAATTTACTATTCAAAAATTCAGCTTCTACTTTAATAGTAGACAAATAAGGTCTAATGTTAATGAATTTGTCGAGTGGTACATAATGGGGTGTATCGAATGATGTACAATCTACTCACATAAGTGTGGGACCCATGTGAAAGAAATGATATTTTATTCGAGTGAATCTCTCGTCCATGTGAGTGGGGTGTATATCATTAAGTACACTTCGATGTACCACTTGCCAAATCGAATATTAATATAGTACCTTTAGTTTTTTGTTATTTAAAAAAGTGATTTCTTACTTTTGATAGTGGAGAAGGAATTATCGTCTTTTCGTCGTTTGTGGGTAACCTTTGGGTCACAATTTGCCATCAAATCCTAACTTTTGGCTTTTCAAACCAGAATAACTACAAATACAAGCTATGAACACGTGGAATTTTTTATTTTTTATCTTTTGCAAAGTGATTTGAAAGTTACCTCTCTCTCTCTCTCTCTCTAAACCATAAATATCTCATACAGTGCCACTCAATAAGTGATTCACTTTTTAAAACATCCACAAATTGTAAAGAATTCGTAACAGAAAAAAGAAATAATCAAAACAATAGTAATATTGACCCAAAAAATTGAAAAAAAAAATAAAAAGCTTCAAAAAAATTGGATTGGGCAGCTAGGCCCAAAATTTGGGTTATGACTACGTTTCAATTTTGACTTATTCTTTTAATTAAGTTCAAATTAAAAAAAAAATTACTTTCAATGGTCACAAATAATATGTTAGTCATACTACAAAGAAAAAAATGATTTTATTTTCAATTTTGTAACAAGTTTTGTGTTATGACTTTATTTATCTTCTTCTTATAAGTTATAGTATACAATTTTATGATATATTAACGAACAAAAGTTGTACCTATATTTTCATCAAAGTTCTCGACTTGCAGTTTTATAGGTTTGTGGTTAATGGGTGAGTAACGAGCAAAAGCCTTCCTTTGCAAGGAAGCAACAAAGACTTTATCTTAGTGAAAAGATCAAATATCGAATCTTTTTTCCCCTCAAATTGGGATGTTCTTTTTCATGATATGCAATGAGCAAAATAATTTTCGTGAAACTCTTTCATTTCTTAGAAGTGAATTTTTATTCATTTTAATTATTTCATTACCAATTTTGTTGTGAATAATAATGTATAAAAAACTAGAAAATCTTTTGTTATATTGTATATTTTAAGCTAGCTATAAATGTTAATTTATTATAAGAGATTCTATTTTCATTTTTTTTGTTAATTTAAAATAATATTTAATAAAATCTAACGATTTAATTTATGGTTCAATACATAATCATAATCATGTTAGTATATGAAAATTCGAAGTGAAACATGTTTTGTAAAAGTCATGATTATTTAATTAAAATTTGAACATTTTTTTTTAACTTTCGTTTTAGAGAAAATTAAGTACCTATTTCTCATTTTTAAAAGTAACAAAATTCTTATTACTAGAAAAGTATTTTGATTTCATTGATTTCATTAAGCTGCGTTCATTTATCATTATGTCAAAATTCTTTTTTTTTTTTCTTATTACATTTTCAATCACATATTCTTATAATAAAATATTTTGCATTTAAATTTAATTTTTTTCTACTTTTTAACTACATATTCTTCAAAATTTTATTATTTCAAAACTTATTTTCCTACTTTAATGACAGACGTATAGGGATTTGACAAAAAAAAATGTTTTCTTATTCAAGATGAGAGTAAAATGGCATTACTAAAGTAAAAGGGCGAGGACTGTGAAATCCAAAAAATAGATTAGGGGACCTATTTAGTACATTTTTAGTAGGCTAGGGACTGTAGAGATAATTTTATTTTTTAATTTCAACGTTTTTGACTTTCAATACACAGAATCCTATTAAAATATCCCAATACTGTATTCACTATTCAATATACATGTCTGTTGACTCCACGTTTCCACGCCATTAAATACGGTGCAAATCTTCATCGTTATGCCCCGCTGTCTCTCTCTAGATTTACAGAATTTGTAGAAGAAGAATGGGTTCGGGTTCGCCTCAAACAATTGAGCTTTTGAAGAATGAGATTCAGGTGGAGCAGGAGTCTTTTCTTCTCTCCGGTGATGTAAAAACCGGTTTAGTTCTTGTTGACATCGTTAATGGATTCTGCACCGTTGGTTCCGGAAATCTGGTAACCTTTTTTTGTTTTAAAATCCTTTTGGGTTTTGAATCTTGTGTATATCAATATACTGATGAATACATGCACGTGTAATTATATATTTCATGTATCATCGATTTGTCTTTTATGTTAGCTTGAGACCAAGTTTTGGCCTTTTTGTTTTGGGGTTTCTGATATATTTAATGGTGGGATTGTTCCTCGGTTGATTATAAAATGAAGGGAAAGCTGAAACTTCTGAGTTTTTCAATATTTAATTGTTTCTGTCCTCAAATTTTTCTCCATATTTAGTGTCATATTAATAATAAAATTTCCTGGTTATGTGCCATTTCTTTATTTTATATATATACTTCCAGTCAATGGGAAAATGGAAATTGAATACTCTTCAACAGGATACAACCAAACAAAGGAAGAAAGAAAGAAAAAGACTGGAATACTCCAAACGTTAGCATCCATTGAAAGTGTGCATACGCGTGTTTCTAGCCAGCATCCTATGAGAGAAAATTGAGTGTACAATTTATACGAACTTTACAGCTAAGTCCAAGCGAGAAATCCCGTTTAACTCTTCCATTCCATATGTCCATGATTTATTTCCATTGTGCGACGAATGATGATCCTTATACATGTAAAACACAATATTTGAGCCAACATCTAAGACGCTACTCGATTTTGAGCCAGAAGGTGGGACTGCGGCATGTGTATCAGACCTATGTTAGGGGTACCCAATAAACACCTCCTTGTGTGCACGCTTAAATCCGGGATCCTACGACTGCCTTTTTTTTTTTTTTTTTTTTTGATCCCAGGATTATTATTTCTGTGGCATGTGTTTCATTACCTCCATCCTATATGGTTTTATTCTGCTTATGAAGTTATTGTATAGAGATAATAATTTGACGACGATATCAAACTTAGTGTCGTCATATTAACTGCAGGCTCCGCAAGCTCCAGATAAGCAAATTTCAGGAATGGTTGATGAGTCAGTGAAGCTCGCCAAATTGTTCTGTGAGAAGAAATGGCCTGTATATGCTTTACTTGATTCTCATCATCCAGATATTCCCGAGCCTCCATATCCTCCTCACTGTTTAGTTGGAACTGACGAGTCAAAATTGGTTCCTGGTAGTTATAACCTTATAGCATGTTTGGTACAACATACCAATTCCAAACAGTAATGGACAGTACATGGAGAACAAAAAAAGGTGAAAATGTTGTCCATGTCCTGTCCAGTCCTGTCCATTACTATGTACCAACTATGTCTTTAGTGCTTTTCCTACAACAGAAATAAATTTACATGTTTTTGTTGTCCTCTTATGTTGCTTAGTTGATATGATTTTGCAGACTTGCTGTTTTTGGAAAATGAACCTAATGTAACACTGAGGTGCAAAGGATGCATTGATGGCTTTCTTGGTTCATTTGAGAAAGATGGATCCAACGTATTTGTAGATTGGGTGAAAGCTAATGAGATCAAAGCCGTAAGTATTTCCATGTCCGACAACACGAATATTAAATTTTTTCCCATCTTCATAAATTGAAAGAAATTTGGCTACATATCGAATAGATATACAAGAAATTTTGTTGCATAGAACAATTCTTAGTGATGTAGATGCCTTTCTAACCAATACTTTCTATTCTAAAGATACTGGTTGTAGGGATATGCACGGACGTTTGTGTGCTTGATTTTGTTTGCTCAGCACTTTCTGCAAGAAATCGTGGACTTCTCCCTCCATTGGAGGATGTGATTGTGTACTCTCGTGGTTGCGCTACTTATGATTTTCCAGTTCATGTTGCCAGTAATATCAAAGGTGCTCTAGCTCATCCACAGGTAATATATCCAATACATGCAGGTCATGATTGCTAATTTAGGTTTTGCTAGTGTGTTCTCATTGAGATTTGGTTGAAAATCTTAATGAAATCGCAATGCATGATGAAATCTTTGGCATAGATTATCAACCTAATATTTCATTCTACTTCTTAAATGTTTCATTTTAGCTTCTTTGGGCTTATTTTCTCTCATTCTCAGCACACAGAATAGAACTTACAGCCTATCAAGCTTTCGTGAAATACTCTGAATGGAATGGCTGCTAAAAATGGCATAGGATATCCACCCCTTACCAACACTGCCTTCTCTTGTTCCCTATACGAGCCATTGCACAATGACATGTTTTAAGGCTTGTGGGATGGGATTTCGTATTGGAATTTTAACCAATATCTCCTAGAGAAGTCATTTCGCCCCACGGACTGACCAAAGAACAAGCCTGAGAGCCTTAATCAATTTAGTCAAGATACTAATCCATTCCATTATGACTCAATATGTAATACGGTTAAGTCCAATATCACAATAATATGGCAGTCTGCAAACCATTTTACGTATTGAATTGTCCACAAAATATTCCGATGCTTCGTTGGGGTTCTTTCAATTATTTCCCAATCAGGGTACCTTATTCTTCGTACTTTTTTCTCTTTCTTTGGTGTAGGAACTTATGCATCATATAGGGCTTTATATGGCTAAGGGCAGAGGAGCCAAGGTAGTTTCTGAAGTCTCTTTTGTTACCGAGTAGCAATATAACTTCATCTCTGCTTCTTATCTTAGATGAGAATGTAGATATCCTTACTGTATATAAACGTGAGTTGTTTTGATGATGATACTGGGTCTCTCGAAAGTAGCATATGAAGATGCTTGTATCTAATTATAGTTAATGCGTATAACCTGGATTTGCAGCATTATGTAATAAGTTCTCAATGCAAATTTGCTGTTTACTTCTTCGTAAGATTTAGTAGCAATCAAGTTTTCTCAACCGGAATTTAAACATGATTTGTATATGTTACATTTAAGTAACTTTTTTGAACTTATTTTTTTCCAAACTTTTGATGGCCTGTTTGCTTGTGCTTTTGCTTTTGGTGGAACAATTTATCTACCCTAATTTTTGTTCGAAAAATCATTTTTAATATTTCGGAAGTGCTTTTAAAGGAAATTACATTAAATTAGCGTTCTTTAAAAGTTCTTTTAACTAGAATTGCTTTTATAAAATTAGTTAAATGGGTTCAAAAGCAGTTTTTGGTACTTAAAAAGCGCCCTTTAACTTCTCGAAAGTCAACCGAACCCCTAAGTACTAGAAGTTACTTTTTTTAGAGTAATTCTTATTTGTAACTTGGACAAATATGCCCGGATAAAATAATTTGCAGGTTGTTTGATCATTACCAACTAGATAATGACTTTATTACTCCTCGATAAGAACATGGAGGCACAAAAATATAGTTGTTGAAGTTGCAAATCTTGATATTCTTGCAATTGAGCAAGTTTTTAGAATGTAAATATACAGGGATCACAAGAGGGAATTTCATTGAAAGGACCATATTTTCGAAATAACAAAAGCACACTTTGGACTGACTAGTGAGGCTTCAGCTTCTCTCTCATTTCTCTAGCTCCCTGCCAACAGTTGCATTTTCTCTGGACTATCCAATCGCTCCTAGAATTCAAGTGGCTACTGTGAACCTCCCGAGGAGGCTCCGACTAGCTACTTGGGATGTCCCAAGGAACTTACTTCACCCCGGGTAATTGACTTTTTAGTGCAACAGGGATCGTTTAAATGGAAATTTTAAGGATTGGTCTGATTGGTTAAGGGTTAATGTTTGAGGACGGATGGAGAGGGCGTTGAGGCTGGGCTATCATAAGCAACTTGGTACGTTACAAATGGAAATTTTAGTTCAAATTCATGGTGAAATCAAAAGGTGGTCCAGCCTAAAAATTAATTTTAACCCAACTTACTTTATTTTCAACCCAATACCAGCGTCAATTATTCAAATTTAGTTTAATATTCTACAACAATTACATATTCATTTTATTTACATTCATGATACACGAATAACTCGTTGTCTAATTAATTTAGTTTAATATTCTACAACAATTGCATATTTATTTTATTTACATTCATGATACAAAAATAACTCGTTATCAAATTAGGTATTTTATTTCATATATATATTCTAAGTTTAAAAAGTTCACTTATAATTAAATTAATTTATTATATAACAAATAATTGTTATTAATTAAAGTAAAGATAAATGACATATTTTAACAGTATGAGATATCACATCTTTCACTAAGTTTAAGAGTAATTAAAATTTTCTTTATGTATTTTTTGTATATTAATTATTTATACTTGTGAATTAAAATTTTATTTATTTTAATCATGAAATAGATTTTATTATCAAAATAAGTAATAAGCTCAATATTTAATTTTATTAGTTAAAAATGTATTTGTTAGAAATTTGTCATGAGTGTCCGAAAATATATTTTGACCGAATTTGTCACAAGTATCATGAGTTTAAGCTCTTAATCTAAATCTCATGAGCATAGAACATTTTTCATGTTATGAGTTCATTGAAATAAAAAAATTTAAACTTCAGCCCGCCCTAATAAATCTTTCTGGCTCTGCTCTTGATTGTTTCAATAACCAAGTTCTAGTACTGGTACCCCCCCTCAACTACCCTATCCTATAAGAAAAACGAAAACTTTATTCTTTTGGGCTTTAGTTACATAACTTTATACTCGGTTCATCACCTGGGTAAATCCAGGATGTTATTATAGTTTATACACACTTGGACAGGATATTCGAAATGCAGTTCTCCTTCCTGTAGATCTTCTTTTACGACATGCGGGCAAGACTCTCGGAAGAACGACAAAGCGTACTATAATTTTGCTTTCACAAGACATTAATTTGCCTTCCAACATACATGTTGTCTTCTAGCTGTCGTGGGGATTCGAGCTTTTGATGCTCCGTAGAGAACCCTCTTATTTTACCATTGCACCATGCCCGTGGGGGCCTTTAGTTACTTACACTTAGATCATGGAAAGACGGTGGTTTAAGTAGCAGAGAGTCTGAAACTGTACTTGGTTTTCAGTGGAAGTCACATTTGATTATTCCTTAGGTTTTTGAGCATTTTTCTGTATGCTTAAAATTAAGAGACTACGATTATATAATCAAGTAGATTAAAAAATGAAATAACTTCAAGAAACTCAAAATTAAACAGTTTCTGGGAGTTTAGAACCCAAAAACAAATTCTTTCTCAGAAAGCAAAAAGGAAGATAAATAAAATCATTTTTCATCTTTCCAAATGTATGAACTTCTAAAAAGAAATGATGCTAAATAAACAATACGAGAGCAAAATAAAATCAAGAACTAAAGATTTTACAGAGGTTCACCGTCTCTGGGTACATGATATCTTCTGTTATGTAGCATAGAAGAGAAAATAGAATGCTTCTGCTTCTTTTGTTTAGTTCCAAAAATGAATGACCTCAAAGGAATTCGAGTCCGACTCTCTGAATTACTTAACTCTGGTCGATCTTGATCTCCTGGAATTTCAAACTCCTCATTCAACTTTCTTAGAGTCTTTTCAATTTCTTGTTGAAGTGCATTTACATGATCTAAACCTGCTTGTAATTCTTCGCTAACTTTATTGTTTTCCTGTTTCATGTTCACAACTTCACCTTGGAACTTTGCAGCTTGATGACTGCTAAATTTGATTTCGTCTTCTTCGACTCCCTCCTTCAAAGCTATCGTGATTTGTTCCTGAATGCTGCATAATGATTCAAGTCGGCGCTTCAGTTCCTCATTCAATGAAACACTTTGTTCCAACCACATTGTAAGCTCTGTCTGAATCTCTTTTATGTGCTTGTATATTGGCCGGACCTCGGATTTTATCTCTGTTGAAATACTCCCCGCAACTCTCTTTTTCTCCTTTATTTGTGATATTTCATTTCGTAAATCTTGAACTTCAGCCTGGAATTTCTGTATCAGATGAAATGAAGTGCTGAATCTTAACCAGAAATCCAAATTCTCATCAAGTATTGCATCAATATCCATCCGGAGCTTTTCCTCCACCACTGAAATGGCTGGAGCTTGATCAATGAGAATAAACTTGACATCGTCTTCTTTGGCACTGATGAGATCTTCTTGCACTTCCAAAACCTTGGTTTGTGCTTCCGATTTAACTCCTTGACCTTTTGAAGTGTTCAAATCCCCATTTTCATTAAATGTTCTTTGTAGATGGTTCAACTTTTGGCGTAAATGTTGAATTTCTTCATCTCTCTTTGCAATAGTATCCCTTAGTTCTCGTTCGTGCACAGCCATTTCAAATTGGCACTCCAACTCTTTCTTCTCCATGTCACTAAGTTTCCGCTTGACATCCTTATAATTCCTGAGAATCGTCGTATATTCTGTCAGAAGAATCTTCTCTCTATCCTCCATTCCATTCAATAGCTTCTGTTGCCAGTCTAGCTCATCTTCTTTCCCTGTGTCCTTTTGCGATTCAGCATTAAGTTCATTCCCCTTGTCGTTTGAACATTCCACAGAAACTTGCTCAAGTGGTTTTGAGTCCAAAAGAACGATGGATTCTTTATGGGTTTCTTTACCTTCTCCTTGTTGGTTATGAACAGATTCCTCCTGATTCTGATCGTTTATGACCTCTTCTCTTACATTCTCTGTGTTTTCTGCTTTCATTATATTGAGGTTGTCATCATTCCCTTCTCCTTGTTGGCTACGAACAGATTCCTCCACACTTTGATCGTTTATAACCTCTTCTCTTACATTCTCTGTGTTTTTTGCTTTCATTATATTGATGTTGTCATCTTTCCCTTCTCCTTGTTGGCTACGAACAGATTCCTCCACACTTTGATCGTTTATAACCTCTTCTCTTACATTCTCTGTGTTGACATCTTTTTCTTCTCCTTGTTGGTTATGAACAGAATCCTCCACACTCAGCTCTTTTATGTCCTCTTCTGTTACATCCTTAGCGTTTTCTGTTTTCATCATTTTGAGGTTTTCATCTAATAATAAATTGTTAACCTCAATCTCTTCATCTAACTTTACACTGGTCAGTTTCTCAGACAGATGATCAAGATTAGAATGAGCTTTGACAAAGCTCGTTGCCAGATTGCTGTTCTGTGTTTCCACTTTTTTGTTTAGATCTTGAATCATGTGAAATTTGTCATCCATTACTTTCACCCTTGTTGTCAAATTACATGTTCCATCAATCCCAATCTCATTTTCACCTTCCAAATTCTGAATCTGTGCCTGCAGATCATCAACTTCTGTTCTTAACGTGTTTATAAGAACAGTCTGAGACGACACCTCTGTTTCTAAGTTGATCACCTTACTAGCAAGCTCGTCAATCTTCTCTACAAATTCTGTCACTGTCAGAGATTCCATCGATCCCACCACGTCTTGGTTCATTTTCTTGACCACGATGTCAATTTCTCGGCTCTGTTGTATCGTGTAATCCACATCTTTAGTTAAGCTTTTGGATTCATCTCCCAAGTTTGCAGACTTATCATTTTCAGTCGGCTTTTCCAAGTCAGCTTCATCACGAAGGTACTTGTACCTGAGGGACTCCATTCTCAGACGGATATCTTCGATTTTGTCAAATTCCTCTTTTGCGTCTCGGGCTGATCTTTCTTGTTTCTCCTGCAACTGAACCAAGGTTTCTTGACAGGATTTTAGTGCGGCTTTAGCCATCAAATTCCGAGCCTCATCATCCTCAATCACCGTATCAACACCAAATTCATCCTGCAAACCACACACTTTTTGCTGCATTTCCGTGATCTGGTTCTCGATTCCCCAGTACTTTTCAAGTCCGATTTCGTAAGAATTCTTTACAAACTCTTTAACAGTTTGCAGTGCTAGAATCTCCTTTTGAAGCTTGTCAATCTCTTCAAGAGCTTCACTCTTGTTCAAACCAGATTTTACAACATTTTTAGGAGTATTTTCAGATTTCGACGATTTCTTGGCTGGAAATTTTTTGGAAGCTGATGTCATAAGACCTTTCAAATCTTTAATCGGGGCCTTAGGAACCTTCGGAATGATTTCAGTATCGACTGGTGGAACTTGAGAATTCTTCGGAATTTTTAAGTTACTACTACATTCATCATCTTCATCCATTGCAAATTGCACTTGCTCTGGGAAGACAGTGGCTATTGTGTGATTAGCCTTTTGCAAGTCATTCGATAAGTGGTCGTAACGTTCTGCTAAGGCTCGAAAAGCCCGATAAGATTCTTCGACGAAATGCAAGAGTTCTGGCCTCTTCTTATAATACATTTCTGCCCTTTTGGCGAAGGAGTCTCCATCTTCTTCAATAAGCTTAATCACATGCTGCACCTTCTCTTCCATATCTACAAAAATTATTTATCCACGGTGAAATTCGAATATAACAACTAATTAACTGATTTCAACTTCATGGAAGAGGGACATAGAGTATTAAGTTATGCGAATACTATAGCAAAAAGGAAGATAAACATACTATTAATTAGCACTCAATGCCTCAGCATACAGTATCAGGTAATGTCCATATTCAAATGATAGTCAAAAACATCTTTGTTCTTTCTCCTCAATGCCCGTTCAAATCTCTTCTCTATTATTTTTTGTCTGATTTAAAATAACATCATATAATTACACGCGCGCGCACATATATATATTAAAAGCATTGATATTATGGGACCCTAGGCAGCCGATTATAAAACCAAGAAATCAAGCGGAGTTATTGAAGATCACCTTGAAGATCAGAATAATATCAATGAATCCGATTACTGCAATTGTTCAAAATATAATTTTATATTTTATAAAGTTTATTCCTTAGTTCAATCACTGGTACTATTTGGATTCAGAAAATTAGTAGATCTGTTTTGAACAAAATGATTTGATAATCGAAGCGATTTCATGATTTGAGCTTTTAAGTTCAATTCTCTTATCCTCGATTAATTTAAAGTTGGTTACATGAATTTCCTTCCACCACACGGTTTCTCGCTACCTTTACTAGAAGATCGGAAACAAAAAACAAGAACAAAAAACAATGAAGTCAAACGATGTCGAAGGATGCTGAAACCGTTCGACACAATTTCGACAAGAATTGAATCTAGATTCGAAAGAACCATAATCAAATTGTCTTGTCATACCTTGAAGGCTTTGCTCAAGCCATTTTGATTGCTTTGTCCTGATATGGCTTGCCCACCACCATGAATATGCATTGCTTGCAGCTCTCTGCAACATCTTTCCCAGATATAGATCCTTCTTCTTCTTGCGATCACTTGAAATCAGCTCTCTCTCCCTCCCTCTCTCTCTCTCTCTCTCTCTCTGTGTATATGTATATATATGTATGTATGGATCAAAGTTGAAGAAGAAGAAGAAGAAGAAGAGTTAGAGAGAGCAAAATGTAGAGATCCTCTTGTTTCTTATGGGAGACAAAAGATGCAACCATGAATCATTGGGAAGGACGCAATATATCGTGGGGCAAAACTTCACTAGATATCATCCAACTTATAGAGTTGTTTATACTGGTAACCCAATTTTCGATTCATTTCAATTTAATCACCCAACATACATTTTTGTTTCAAGTTGACCTTTTTGTCTGGCCAATCCCATGTGGTTGACTGAACGCATGACCTGATACTTATTTGACGTTAAAGTAATTTAATTTGTCACATAGAATGAGCGGGAATCAAAAAACAACATATTTGAGCTCTAAATTCACTCATTTGAGTTTTTCATGTTGTCAAAAACTGTTGATGCCAAACAAGCATCAAGTCATGCGACGCACGACATCAATCACATATGGATGGACATGAAGTGCTTGCTTGGTCGTCTTTAAGGTTATTATCATTTTTTTTTAACATAATATAAAGTAATTAGATCCAAAAATATTATGTGGGATCCACAATTTATTTATTTTGAGCCACAAAAGGATACTTATAAGCAACCTAAACATGTGTTTAGTTTCAGTAATGACTACACTCTTAATGGTCAAACTAAAATGAAAAAAAAATTTGAGTTGAGTTATCAATGTGTAATAAATTAGGGTAAGGGATCAATATAAAACATACCCATAAGTTGGGTGACCTTCAATGAATTACGGGGTTATGGTTGGGAGGTTATTTCGAACCTTTCACATGGCTTTCTAATCCCAACCAATGAGCAATGAGTATTATGTGAACGTGGCATCCACTGGCTCTGACAGGTTGGCTTTGTCCTAAAGAAAAAAAGTTGCCACCTTAACCCTTCATTAACTAACTTTTATAACACATTTAAGAATTATATTTATATCTTTAGACCCTTTTTCCCCACTGATTTTTCAAGATTTACGATGAACTTTATGCAAAGTGTTGATTTACAACTTACAAGCTAGCTATGGATATTCCAAACTTGATGCTTATTTTAGGTATAATCTAAGTTCTTAATTTAACTTGAGAATGACGACGAAAAAACAGTTTAATAATGCGAATAAGAGTCAAGAAAAAAATATTATACATGCGGGTTTTTACAGATTTGGTTAAAGATCAGAAGGTATCGACCGGACTAGAGGGACTATTTCACATTTCACTAGACAATATTTGTTTTCAGAACACGTTTTAGTAAATTTTACATTTTTCATTTTGATTTTCTCTGCTATTATCAAAATTTAAGTAATTTATAATACAATAATGATATATTTGGTAAAAACTAAACGACGATGTATAGTATCGAGGAGAAAAGGGAATATGCATTTTTTTGGAGAGTAATTTACAATTATAGATATCTTGTTTTCTAATGTATCTTAAACATTAGAAAAGATTGGCAAATCTTTGATTTTAGTTGATATTCACGGAAGGAAAGTGTACTAGTAAAAATCATACGATTGTATTTTTGCAATTAAAATTTCAATGTTCTTAAAATCGGATAGACTATAAAAATGGAATACTAGTCCTATTATGGGGCCAAAAAAAAAATAAAATAAAATAAATTCCAAAACTGTTATAATTGACCGATGTACTCAAAATTGGTCGGTTCAATCAAAAACCGACTATTGCATAATCTTTTGCTTTTGAGATTAACTAAGAACCCCCAACCTTCTCTTCATTCATATCTTTTGTTTCGGATAAATCATCTTGTGTATTTACGTGGTTAAATCGAAGACGTACCTATGATACTAATTATTCGACTATGATTCTATCTATAACCTTGAGTAACACAATCTCCTTATAAACTTGAGATTATCCAGCACTATAGTCAATGCAGAATTTTTTTTTCACATTTCTAATATAATTTGATTTGTTTATAGTTTAACAATTTGGTGAAGGAAAATATATAATTTAGACAATATTTAGTACTAATATTTCCAAATTCCCCAAAGTCTCAAAACTTTATTAAAAATTCCTGATACTATTCAGGTGTGAAGAACCCTAGAGGTAATTGCAATCAGCCCATCCATGGGCCTAAACGATGGGCAAACCCTCGAACATGAGAGCAAGGGATCTCCCAACAAATGGCTAGGTTAGCTGAAAGTTGGTTATCGATTGAAGTGAAGTAATTTATCAAGGATGATGAATAAGGGAGTCAAATTCTTTAACAACCGATTCTCAAGCACCGCATTATAGGAAAATAGACAACTGATTCTTATTTAGCATAGATGAATCTTCTTTGTTCTTTCAACCCGTATCTTATACTACGAGGAGCCTCAAGCCGTTTGGACAAGTTGACGAGTGGAAGGAACGAAGTGATTGAGAGCAGGAGTTACATAGACACCAACTATATATTTTCCAAGTTCTCCAAAATATATCTCAAAGCCTTTTTAAAGAGTTTCCATTTTGAAAACACATATTCAACACGAAAACATTAACTTTTTGAAATAAAGAAACTTGAATAAACAAACAGATACATAACATGAATCATGAGAACTTATCCTGATACTCTTCATGAATTCTCCCACCCCTGATGAATTCTCTAATACAGGAAGTAGAGAAAAATGGCTCTTTAACTAGAACTAATTCTTCTTTGCTTCCACGAGCGCTTTCGGTTAATCGATTCTCCCGTTATCAAGAAAGGGATTGCGTTTTATTTCAGGTATTATAGGCCATAAACAATAGCAGCAGCTGCAATTTATAAAAGATTTATACCACAGAATCCCATTATTAAATTTTGCACATAAAATCAGGAGCAGGATATGTATATATAGACTGTTCTTATTTGTGTAATCGGATCTGCCCTCGTCTGTTTTTGTGCCCTTCAACAACAGACTCTTCGAACTCTGGCCAAGTTAAGCTTTTATTCAGGAAAAGCTGCTCAAACAGTGCCATGTTAGTGTTGTGATTCTCCGATCACGAGAACAAAATAAAAGAGGAAAAACAATTCTATTTCTACTTGAATAGAATTAACAACGGATTACAAACTAAAAAAAAACTCTCAAAAGAGTCTCTCTAATCTCTCTCTTTTTTCTCTCTTCTCTATCCTATTTTTCTTCCTCTCAAGGGACATACTAATTCTCTTTATGGTAGCTCATATTTATAAAAAATTTTGGCTACAAACCGTCGTAAACTTGTGGCCAAAAACCAATCAAGAATTGCGGCTAGAGAATTTTATTTCAAATTGTCTTCTTGCATAGATTTCTTCTCCATTAAGCAATTGAAATTGTATCCGTTCAAAGGTGAAGAGTTTTAATTCAAATTTTCTTCTTCATCCATGCATGTGGATTCTTCTACATTAAGAAATTGAAATTCAACAATTTCGGCTGGAAGAAGCTAGAAGAAACTTGATTAATATGCGGCTGGAACACATCGATTCTCCCCCTCCAGTCGTATTTGAATCAATTGCTATCTGACAACCAACCCAACTATGTCTCTGCATAGCTCTAGCTTCTCTCTTAGAACCACCTTTGTTAACATATCTGCTGGATTCTTATTTGTGTGAATCTTTACTAGTCTCAGCAGCTGTTGATCCATCACTTCTCTTATCCAATGATAGCGAATGTCAATATGCTTTGTTCGAGAGTGATACATTGAGTTCTTACTCAAGTTAAGAGCACTATGGCTGTCACAATGTACTTTATAATCTTTCTGCTTGATCCCTATTTCTTGGAGAAATCGCTTTAACCACAACATTTCTTTACCTGCTTCCGTCGCTGCAATATATTCTGCTTCTATTGTAGATAAAGCAACACACTTTTGTAGTCTTGACTGCCATGAAACAGCTCCCCTGCAAAAGTGTAGAGAAATCCTGAAGTAGATTTTCTACTGTCAAGATCTCCCGCCATATCTGAATCTGTATAACCTTCCAAGATTAGATCAGCTCCCCTGTAGCACAAACATATCTTTGATGTACCTTTGAGGTACTTGAGAATCCACTTGACTGCCTCCCAATGTTCCTTTCCAGGATTAGAAAGAAAACGACTCACCATGTCTACTGCCTGGGCAATATCTGGCCTTGTACATACCATGGCATACATCAGGCTTCCAACTGCTGAAGAATAAAGTATCAATGACATCTCCTCTATCTCTTTCTTGGATGAGGGGCATGAATTTTTGCTCAATTTGAAGTGGTTGGCCAATGGAATGTTGACAGGTTTGGCATTATGCATGTTGAATCTCTTGATCATTCGTTCAACATACTTCTCGTGGGATAGCCACAACCTTCTATTCTTCCTATCTCGAGTTATGTGCATTCTCAAAATCTGTTGAGTTGGGCCTAAGTCCTTCATGTCGAAGAACTTGGAGAGTTCCTTCTTTAGCTGCCTGATTTTTGTTGCATCTTGTCCGACGATTAGCATGTCGTCTACATACAATAGAAGAGCAACAAAATTGCCATCCAAAAAGTGTTGAATATAAACACACTGATCCGTAGCTGTTCTTTTATAGCCTTGACTCACCATGAAAGAGTCAAATTTTTTGTACCACTACCTAGGTGCTTGCTTAAGACCATATAAGCTCTTCTTTAACTTGCAAATAAAGTTTTCTTTCCGTGAAACTTCAAAACCTTCTGGCTGCTCCACATAAATTTCTTCATATAAATCACCATGAAGAAATGTTGTTTTGACATCCATCGGTTCAAGTTCTAAATTCAGACTGGCTACTAATCCAAGGATAACTCGAATTGAGGCCATTTTTGCAACAGGTGAAAAAATCTCATCAAAGTCAACTCCCTTCTTCTGAAGAAATCCTTTGACTACCAAACGGGCTTTATGTTTTACCACCTTTCCGCTGTCATCTTTCTTGAGCTTGAAAACCCATTTATTCCTTAATGTCTTCTTTCCCTTCGGAAGCTCAACTAATTCATATGTTTGATTTTTCTGCAGTAACTCCATCTCATCCTGCATTGCTTGTATCCACTTGTCTTTGTCCACATAAGTTTGTACTTCCTGAAAGCTCTCTGGCCCTCCTTCGTCAGTGAGCAAAAGGTAGTCTAATTCTGGATATCTCGTTGATGGAATCCGTCCTCGTTCAGATCTTCTTACCTGTG